TTTTCTCCTTTCTTCAAAGTACTAGCCTTTTTATAAATAGTCTTTATTCCTCACATCCTTCCAAAAATAAACAAAAAATCAGCACAGTATTTAATAATAGCCCTTGCTGAGAAAGGAGTGAACACATTCCAAAGTGTCAGATGTCCACTTAGCCTACCCTGGCAGAGGATCTCAATAATGGACCTGCAGAACTTCAGCGGCCCAGTGATTTCAATGGCTTTAATGGTCCCAGCTCATTTCTTTCTACCAATGTCATCATCTTTAACAAAAGAAACAGGAGCCCCAATGAGGCTTTCTGGCTTTATCCTTCACTTCTTTAAGCTTTATTGTCTTTTGTCCCTGCTTAGACTTTACCTCATGCATAAGTATTCACATCAGCTAACTCTTCGCATAGTTGGAAGGATGTGCTGCTTTTTTCTTTCAATGATGTAAGTATATCTAAAGCAGATGGTCATGTCTTTGAAAGTAACTGGATATTGGAAGAAGGGTAGGGTTTGGGGAAAAAGATAATACAAAATCCTATATTTGCTCCCCCCTCCATATATGACCTTCAAAGGTCAGAGAAATTCCTGCAACAGCTTCAAACTGCCAGTCTCAGATTCTAAAGAAGCTCTTTGTGGGGCTTTATTTTTAAGGATCTGTAGACTTGATTTCAATGGGTCACAAATTGCCTATATTGGGTATTTCCCTTACTTCTTGAATTTTTACAAAGTGCAAGGCCTTTGCAAAGCCATAAATATTATAAAGGTTGGTTCTGTCATTCATACCCCTTGTCTTCTAGTCAGCTTTACAAAGTAATCACCTCAAAACCCACAATGACCATTGGATTCAAGGTTTTGAAAGTGCATCTTAAAATCTTATGAGCAGGAGCTGCCCCACAAAGCCATTAACATAAATCATAATAGTTTATCAACAGAAGCTTGAGAGATGAATAAGATGCTGAAGGGCAAGGCAGGTGTGTAAAGGGGTGGTAGAATGATGGGGTTAACTGACTTCCTCTAAAAGGTTGATGAATGAAGAAAATTAGGAAAGGATTGGATTTCACAGATGTGCATGAGTTCCTGAGGGGAAATGGAAAAAATTTTATAAGGGTTCTCTAAAAAATACTATTAATTTCTTAAGTCACTTTAGAATTTTATTATACATACACTAACAAATATAAATATATGATTATTGTCACATTTTATTTTATTTTAAAAAATATTTATTGATGACATTACTACAGATGTGCCTCATTTTTTCTCCCATTGCCCCCATCTACCTGGTTTCCTCCCCACTTTAGGCCTTTGCCACCCTATGGTCTGTGTCCATAGATCATGTATATACACATATAAGATTATTTTTGTTCAATCTCTTCCCACCCCATACCTCTTCCCACTGAATATCATCAGTCTGTTCCATTTCCATGTCTCTGATTCTATTTTATTTACCAGTTTGTTCATTAGACTCCTATTCATTTATTTTTATTTTTAGATTCAATTGTTGCTAGGTATATACTTGTTGCTATTTTGTTGTTCATATCTTTTAATCTTTTTCTTTTTCTTCATCTTGTAATATCATTAAACACTTCATATAATAATGGTTTGGTGGTGATAAGCTCCTTTAGCTTTTTCTTATCTGTGAAGTTCTTTATTTGACCTTCAATTCTAAATGATAGCTTTTCTGGGTAGAGTAATCTTGGTTGTAATTCTTGCTATTCACAACTTTGAATATTTCTTGCCACTCCGTTCTGGCCTGCATAGGTTCTATTGAGATATCAGCTGACAGTCATATGGGCACTCCCTGGTAGGTAACTAACTGTTTTTCTCTTGCTGTTTTTAAGATTATCTCTTTGTCTTTAGCCCTTGGTATTTTAATTATAATGTGTCTTGATGTGGGCATTTTTGGGTTCCTTTTGTTTGGTTCCTTTTGTTTGTTCCTCTGTGCTTCTTAGACCTATAAGTCTATTTCTTTCATCAGGTGGGGAAAGTTTTCTGTCATTATTTCTTCAAATAGGTTTGCAATATCTTGCTCTCTCTCCTATTCTGGAAACTCCATAATATGAATGTTGGTATGCTTGAAGTTGTCCCAGAGGCTCTTTACACTAGCTCATGTTTTTGGATTCTTTTTTCTTTTTGCTATTCTGTTTGGGTGTTTTTTCTTCCTCACATTTCAAACCATTGATTTGATTCTCAGAATCTTCTACTCTACCATTGAATTCCTGTATATTATTCTTTATTTCTATTAGTGTATGCTTAGTTTCTGACTGGTCCTTTTCCATTTTTTTTTGGAAATTTCTAGAAGATTCTTGAGTAACCATATAACCATGGTTTTGAACTCTATATCCAGTAGTTTGCTATCTTCCTTTTCTTTCATTTATGACATGTTTCTTTGTCTCTGCATTTTGGCTGCTTTCTTGTGTTTGTTTCTATGTATTGGGTAGAGCTGCAATGTCTCCTTGAGTTGGTAGAGTGGCCTTGTATTAGTAAGTGTTCTTTATGGTCCAGTGGCTCAGCCTCCCAAGTCACCTGAGCTAGGAGCTCTAGGTGCACCCCTTGGTGAGCTGTGAGAACAGTCTTGTAGTAGTTGAGAATTGGTTGATGTTGGTGTCACTGAATGGAATTTACCTCCAGGCCAATTGACTGTGAGGACCAACTGTAACTATAGTTGGATAACTACTGTTTAGAAGACACCCCTATGGAGCAGGACTTGATTGGGGGGGTGCTCACTGAGTGTTCTGCTTGAGTGTGTTGCTTACGGATTTGTAGAGTTGTAATCTGGTATGATCTGACACTGACCACTGTGACACTGGCTCTTGGGTCTCTAGGAAGGTGCAAAGTAAGACATTGCCTGGGGCCACCAATCAGGAGCTACAGAGAGATCTACAGACTACTCCTCTTTGCATTGGTCCCCAGATGAGGCCCAGTTATGAAGCAAGGCAGGCTGGTTCCAGTGTCAAATATTGGGCCTTTTATTGATAAGTTTGGGGCCCCCTGACCCAGCTGCAGCTTGTTTAAGATATTTTAGCCTGAGAAAGGACAGGCCATTCATATGCAAAAGCCTCTATACACAGCTTGGGTAGAGTTATAAATTGGATGAGGCAGAGTCTTAGGGAATCATCAAGGCTGAGCAAACAGAAATGACTAACAATCAGCTCTTGGACCTGGGAGTTCCCAGCATTGGAATAATGATCCTTGTGAGCACCTCCATCTTGGAAAAAGCCACCCCCAAGTTCCTGCCCTGATGCCAGACAATCCAGTGCCATCTCGTATGTGTCAGTGTTCCCCAGAGCCTCGCCATGGTGCTGGAGCTCAGAGGAAGTGGGACCTTGTAAGTTAAGTATGTGGTACTGGCCCTTTTAGAGGAACAGCTGGGTCTTCAGCAGCCTCTGTGTCACTAAGCCCCAATCTGCACTAGTTTTTACAGCCCATAGTTCTTAGTGCATGTAAGGACTTCTTTTCTCAGCTCTGGTACCCTGGCCTGTGGGTTTGGTGTGGGGCTGGGATCCCTTGCTCTTCTGTGCAGCTTCCACAGAAATAATCTCTCTCCTGATTAAAAAAATTGCACACATGGGTGCTATTCCAGCCCATTCCACATCTTCATACTGCCTACCAGTCTCAGTGTGCTTTCTTCTTTACTTCTCTAGTTGTAGGACTTCCATTCAGCCAAACTTTACAGAAATTCTGGATGATGGTTATTCTATATTTTAATTTACTTTTGATGTGGTTGTGGATGGTGGCAAATAAAGTTGTTTCCCAACACTGTTATCTTCCCTAGTTCTTCACCTTAACTTAAAAAAATTATGTACAATTGATATACAATATTATATTAGTTTCAGGTATATGATATAGTAATTTGATATTTATACACCTTACAATGTGATCACCATCTGTCATCGTGCAAAGTTATCACAATATTATTGACTATATTTCCCACTACCCACACTTTTTACATAAATAGCGGTATAGTATGTGTGTGTGTATATAAAGATATATATATATATATATATATATATATATATATATATATATATATATAATTCTGCACTTTGCTTTTATCACTTAATAAGGTATCTTTAATATATTTAATGTTTATATAGAGGGGCCTTCATTATTTCTTTCCATAGCTATATAGTATTTTATTTAATGTCTGCTCTATCTTTTTCCAAACTAAATCTAAATAAATGGAATTGCATTTTTTTCTAATCCCTTGCCTTTGTGTGTTTACAAATAGCTATTAGATAAATTCTTTAAAATAGAATAGCTGTATTAAATGGTAAATAAGCATTTTTTATGCCAGGACCAGTTTGGCTCAATGGATAGAGCGTCGGCTTGGGGACTGAAAGGTCCCGGGTTCGATTCCGGTCAAGGGCATGTACCTTGGTTGCGGGCATATCCCCAGTAGGGGGTGTGCAAGAGGCAGCTGATGGATGATTCTCTATCATCGATGTTTCTAGCTCTCTATCTCTCTCCCTTCCTCTCTGTACAAAATCAATAAAATATATTAAAAAAAATAAATAAGCATTTTTTAGAGGTCATATTTTATAAATTCATTATTTTAATAAGGCCAATCATGCTTTCTCTTCATGTAAATTGTGCTCCCAGAAGCAGTCTTTAAAGTGAAAAAAACAGGGAATGTGCTGGTTGAAACATGCATATAAGAGGACCCATGCAGTTCAAACCTGTATTGTTCAGGTCAGCCAGTTACAAAGTAAGAGCCATGGCATCCTTAAAATTCACTGTGAATGAGATTTAACTACTGGAGTAAATGTCCTATGTGTGCTCCAAGGCAGAAGTGAGGAGATGGATGGATTGAGAGGAAATGAAATAGAATCCAAGGAAGAGCTTTCTTCTCATTGTCCTCTATATCCACAACTATAATTCTGGGAAGCTGCTTATATATTGAGGATATTGTGATACTAGTGAAGAGTGAAACTGAGGAGCAGCAGCGAAGTGCAGCCCTTACCAGTTTGAGGAACAGTAGCCCTGAAAGCAGACTGCCCAATCAGAGGAGCAGAAGCCACATGAGCAGTGTGTCCCCACCAGCCAGAGGAGCCACCACTGCTGTGAGCAGCACCCACCAGAAGAGTTGCTGCCAACTGAGGAGCAGTCAGTGCTGCGATCACCAGAGGAGCAGACGCCAAATGACTTGACATCTAGATCCTTTGTTGAGAACAAAAATGGGGAGACAAAGAAGCTCCCAAAGGAAAGGAAAGGATAAATTGCCAGAAAAATCAGCTAAATGAAACAGAGACATGCCACATGTCAGAAAAAGAATCCAGAATGAGTGTTATATGCCAGAAACCAATAATTGTCTCACTAATAGAAAGAGGCTGGTCAACCTTGAAGCTCTGAAAGGTCAGAGCCAACCACACCCTATCTAATTGAGACAATAGTAACTGAGGCAACTTCACCATCTTGTAATCATGTAAATCCTTATTGTTATAATAATCCACTTATTACCTGCCTAAGGGCTATGGGTGTTTCCTAAAGGTGCTTAAGGGTAATGGCTGTATCCCATAGTAGCCTCAATAAAAGGGATAGCAAGGCCAGAGCCTAGAGAGTCTTCCCACTAGAGGTTGACTCCCACCTGGCCCCCCATTTGTCCCAAATTAACTCTTTTCTAGTCTCTCTTCATTTTAGTGTGTGGCCTCCTCCAGAAACCGGACCCTGAGTGGGCCCTAATCATGCGCCTTGTGTTAAGGGTTCCCACAGTTATACAGTTCAAAATCCAGCTGGATGAATAAATGACCAATTTATGTAAGAATCAAGAAGAAATAAAGAGTATTATAGCTTCAATAATAATAATAAAAAACACCATTGGGAAATTTCAACGGTAGATTAGGAGAAGTGGAGGACCAAATTATTATAGAAGAATGGGGAGCAAAGCATACCCAAACTGAACTACATTTGGATAAAAAGTTAAAAGACAGGAGGAGAGCCTAAGGGAGCTTTGGGACAACATGAAATGAAGCAACATACGAATAACAGGGGTGCCAGAATGACAGGCAGAGGAACAAGGGTTAGAAAACCTATTTGAATAAATAATATCAGAAAACTTCCCTGATGTGGAGAAGAAAAAAGTCACACAAGCACAGAGAGCTCCAAACAAGATGAACCCAAAAGGGCCCACACCAAGACACATCATACTTATGATGGAAAATGTTCAGGACAAAGAGAAACTCTTAAAGGTTGCAAGAGAGACAGAAAGTTATGTACAAGGGATCTCCCATTAGATTATCAAATGATTTCTAAGCAGAAACACATCAGGCCAGAAAGGAATGGAAGGGAATTTACAAAGCGATGCAAAGCAAGAAACTGAATCCAAGAATACTCTATATCCAGCAAGGTTATCATTAAAAATTGAAGGGGAAATAAGGAACTACACAGAAAAAAAAAAAAGGCTAAGGGAGTTTATCACTACAAATCTGGAAATGCAAGAAATGCTAAAGGGGCTGGTGTAAAAAGACAAAATAAAAAGAGAAGAAGGAACACAGGCCCCCAAAATAAAAATGGCTACAAACAAATACACAACAGTAATAACTTTAAATGTAAATGGACTAAATTCTCCAATAAAAAGACACCGAGTGGCTGAATGGATTAAAAACAAAACAAAACAAACAAACAAAAACATGACCTATATATATGCTGTCTATGAGAACCACCTCAGAACAAAGGACTCACACAGACTGAAAGTGAAGGGATGTTAAAATATCTTTCAAGCAAATGGAAATAAAAAAAAAGCTGGGGTAGCAATATTTATATCTGAGAAAATAGACCTCAAAGTGAAGGCCATAACCAGAGACAAGGAAGGCCACTTCATAATACTAAAGGGAACAATTAAAAAAGAAGATATACCTCTGGCAAACTTATATGCACCCAATGCAGTAGTACCCAAAAAACTCCTGGAAGATATCAAGAGAGAGATCGACAACAATACAATTATAGTAGGGGACTTTAATACCCCACTGACATCACTGGATAAATTCTCTTGACCAGTGGTTCTCAACCTTTCTAATGCCATGACCATTTAATACAGTTCCTCATGTTGTGGTGATCCCCAACATAAAATTATTTTCATTGCTACTCCATAACTGTAATTTTGCTACTATTAATGAATTGTAATGTAAATATCTGTGTTTCCTGATGGTCTTAGGTGACTCTGCTGCTGTAGAGGCTAAGACCATTGGAAAATACAGATATTTACATTATGATTATAATAGTAGCAAAATTACAATTATCAAGTAGAAACAAAAATAATTTTATGGTTGGGGGTAACCACAACATGAGGAACTGTATTAAAGATCATGGCATTAGAAAGGTTGAGAACGACTGCTCTAGACAAAAAACCAGCAAACAAGCAGCAATCCTAAATGACTCACTAGTTCAGATGGACTTAATTGACATCTTCAGAACATTTTACCCCAAAGCCACAGCATATACTTCTCAAGGGCACATGGAACATTTCATATATAGACCACATACTGGGTCACAGGCAAAGTCTCTCCAAATTCAAGAAGATTGAAATCATATCAAGCATCTTCTCAGACCACAATAGCATAATCCTATCTAATATAAAAAAGAAACATGCAAATTGCCCATACCTTTGCTACACCCACAGCCAATCAGAGTGAATATGCAAATTAACCATACAAAGATGGTGGTTAATTTGCATATGCAGGCTCTGAGTGGCTTGGGTCCTGGAAACATCCTTTGGACCCAGGCCACTCCTAGCTTGTAGGCCCCTGCTTAGGTCCTGAGAGGCAGGGGTCCCAGAATGCCTCCTGGCCACTGGGAGCCTATGCATGCAGGCACTAAATGGCCTATCAGGGTGGGATGTTCCCACCCCACGCCCAGCCACTTGCAAATGCTCCCACACCAAACAGTGGTTTGGGTCCACGCCCCCAGCCCAGCGCCCATTACTGAGGGGCTGGCTGCTGGCCTCTGGGGCAGGGACATTTGGCAATGGTGATGTTTTCACCCCACTCCCAGCCTCTTGCAAATGCTCCTGCACCAAGTGGTTGTTTGGGTCCATGCCCCCCAGCCCAGCGCCCACGATAGGGAACTGGCTGCTGGCCTTTGAGATGTACAGAGACACTGGAGGCCACCGCTGCATGTGGCCCAGGGTCACTGCATGCCCTCAGCCTGGAGCCCATGGTGGTGCTGGCTGCTGACCTCTGAGGAATTCGGTGAAGGGGATCTCCCCGCCCCGCCATCAGCGGCTTTCGTGAGCTCTGGCACCAAGTGGTGGTTTGTGTCCATGCCCCTAGCCCAGCACTCTGGACAGGAGGATGGCTGCTGGCCCCTGGGGTATGTGGAGACCCCGGCGGCCACCACTAGGTGGCAGGGACACGCTCCTAGCTCAGTGGGCACAACACAGGGGCTGAATGACCTGCAGAGGATACATCTTAAAAAAAAAAAAAAAAAATATATATATATATATATATATATATATATATATATATATACTATATTGATTTTTTTTTTTTTTTACAGAGCAGAGGGGAGAGGGATGATAGACAGTCAGAAATACCAATGAGAGAGAAACACTGATTAACTGCCTCCTGCATACTCCCCGCTGGGGATTTGCTTCCAATCAAGGTAGATGCCCTTAACAGGAATTAAACCTAGGACCCTTCAGTCTGCAGGCCCATGATCTATCCACTGAACCAAACCAATTTGAGAGTAAATACCTTTTCTGACAGCTCATTTTCTAAGCTCCCTGTAGGCCGCCACTTTCAGTGTTTTTGGTAATTTGGGTTATAAGAATCCAAGAAGGTGATCTAGGGTTTTTCCACCATACTCCTAGAGGAAAAAAAATGAAGGTCTGCTACTGGAGGGGCTAAGAAATGTCATATCCTGCCCTAGCTGGTTTGGCTCAGTGGATAGAGCCTCAGCCTGCTGACCACAGGGTCTGGGTTTGATTCTGATCAAGGGCATGTACCTAGGTTACAGGCTCCTCCCTGGACAGATCGCAGGACAGGGTTCATGCAGGAGGCAAACAATCAGTGTCCCTCTCACACTGATGTTTCCCTCTGTCTCTACCTCTCTCTTCCACACTCTCTAAAAATCAATGGAAACATATCCTCAGATGAGGATAAAAAAAAAAAAAAGAAATGTCATATCCTATGAAAAATACTTCTTGAAAATGCCTAAAGAAAGTTGTCATTTTTTTTTTTTTCACAGGGAAGGAACTAGAGTCCATGTTGATGAAAACACCTTGATGGCTGCGGTGGCTGGTAGTGGCTGCAGCAGTCGGGTAATGGGGCTGGTGCCTTCCCTTGATCAGCCCAGTCGCCTGACATCCCTTGAGATTGGAGAGGCTGCAAGCTGGACTGAGGAACTACCCTCCCACTCCCCACCCTCGTGCATGAATTTCGTGCACTGGGCCTCTAGTATTAGAAATAAACTACAATAAGAACAATAAAAAATTCAAACACTTGGAAGATGAATAGTATGCTATTAAACAATGATTTGGTTACCGAAGAGATCAAAGAAAAAAATTAAAGACATCCTGGAAATGAATGACAATGAAAACACAGCAATCCAAAATCTATGGGACAAAGTGAAATCAGTCCTAAGAGTGAAGTTTATAGCTCTTCAGGCTTAACTAAGAAAAAAAAAAGGTAACAAATAATCTAACTCTACAACATAAACAATTGAAAGAGAGCAACAAGAAAAGCCCAGATTGAGCAGAAGGAAACAGATAATAAAAATCAGAGCAGAAATAAATGACATAGAGAACAAACCAACCAACCAACAAACAACCCCCCCCCAAAAAAAAAACCCACAAAAAAACAAAAACAAACAAACAAACAAAAACCAATAAAACCAAGAGGTGGTTCTTTGCAAGGATAAACAAGATTGATGAACCTCTAGCCAGGTGCACCAAGGAAAAAAGAGAGAGGAGCCAAATAAAAAAAATCAGAAATGAAAGATGCAAAATAACAACAGACACCACAGAAATACAAAGGATTGTTAAAAAAAAATACTATGGACAACTCTACTCCAACAAGCTAGACAACCTAGAAGAAATGGACATAGTCCTTGAAAAATACAACCTTCCAAAACTTAATGAGGAAGAATCTAGAAATCTTAATAGTCTGATATCTATGGAAGTAATTGAAGCAGTCATCGAAAAGCTTCCAGCAAACAAAAGCCTGGGGCCAGATGGCTTCACAGGGGAATTTTTCCAAACATTCAAAGAAGAACTAAAATCTATTCTCCTCAGCCATTGCAAAAAATTCAAGAGAAAGGAACACTTCCAAGCTCATTCTATGAAGCCAGCATATACCGTAATACCAAAATCTGATAAAGACAACACAATGAAAGAGAATTACAAGCCAATATCCCTCATGAACATAGATACCAAAATTCTCAACAAAGTTCTAGCGATTTGGATCCAGCCTTACATCAGAAAGAACATACACCATGTCCAAGTAACATTTATCCCAGGGATGCAAGGATGTTACAATATCTGCAAATCAATAAATATGATACATCACATAAACAAATTGAGAAATAAAAATCATATAGTCATATCAATTGATGCAGAAAAAGCATTTGACAAAACCCAACACCCCTTCTTGATAAAAACCTTCTGCAAAATGGGAATAGAGTGATCATACCTCAACAAAATAAAATCTTTATATTACAAACCTACAGACAACATTATACTCAATGGGCAAAAACGAAAACCATTTCACCTAAGTGCAGGAATGACACAGGACTGCCCACTTTCACCACTCTTGTTCAACATAGTTTTGGAAGTGCTAACCATAGCATATAGACAAGAAGAAGAAATAAAAGGTATCCAAATTGGAAAGGAAGACATAAAACTCTCATTATTAGCAGATGACATGATCCTGTAGATCACATGTGTCAAATACAAGGCCCGCTGGCCAAATCCGTCCCGCCAGGCCTTGCAATGTGGCCCGCACCGCGCTGTCATCACTGCACTCCGCTGCGTTTCCATCACAATGACAGTTTATGACTGTTCAGTAAACCATTCAGCCCGCGATTTAGGCTGGATTTTAGATTTTGGCCCCTTCTCTGATTGAGTTCCACACCCCTACAAGATAGAAAACCCTAAGACTCTATAAAAAATTATTAAACTTAAATGAATTTGGCAATGTAGCAGGATACAAAATTAATGCCTAGATTTCTATGGCCTTTTTACACACCAATAGTGAACTTACAGAAAGAAGAAATTTAAAAAACCATCCCATTTACCATTAAACCAAAAAAATTAAGATACCTAAGAATAAACTTAACTAAGGAGGTAAAAGACCTGTACTTGGAAAATTATAGGACACTGGAAAAAATATAGAGGAACATATGAACAGATGGGAGAACATATCGTGTTCATGGGTTGGTAGAATCAACATCATTTAAATGTCCATACTATTCAAAGAAATCTATAGATTAAATGCACTCCCCATTAAAATACTAATGGCATATTTCACAGACCTAGAATGACCTCTCCAAAAACTCATCTGGAATTAAAAAAGAACCTGAATAGCTGCAGCAATCCTGAGAGAGAATAAAATAGGTGGAATCTCAATGCCAGATATATATAGCTGTTTTACAAAGCCACTGTTCTCAAAAATGCCTGGTATTGGCACAAGAACAGACATATAGAACAGAGAACCCTGAAATTGACTCAAACCACTATGCTCAATTAATAGTTGACAAAGGAAGCAATAACATACAATGGAGTCAAGACAGTCTCTTCAATAAATGGTGGTGGGAAAATTGGACAGATACATGCAAAAAAAAAAATGAAACTAGACCATCAACTTACACCATAAACAAAAAGAAACTCAAAATGGATAAAAGACTTCAACATAAGATGGAAACCATAAACATATTAGAGGAATACATAGGCAGCAAAATACCAGACATTTGTAGTAGCAATATCTTTACTGACACAACTCCTAAGGTAATGGAAACTAAGGAGAAAATAATCAAATGGGACTACATCAAAATAAAAAGTTTTTGTACAGCAAAAGAAACCACCAACAAAACAACAAGAAAGCCTACTGCATAGGAGAACATATTTGCCAATGTTATTTCTGATAAGGGTTTTAATCTCCAAAATTTATAGGGGACTCATGTATCTTAACAAGATGAAGATAAACAATACAATCAAAAATGAACAAAGGAACTAAATGGACACTTTTTGAAAGGGGACATACAGAAGAGCAGGAGACACACGAAAACATGCTCAAAGACACTAATCATCCAAGAGATGCAAATAAAAACAATGACGTACCATCTTACACCTGTCAGAATGGCTATCATCAATACAAATGACAAGTGTTGGACAGGATGCAAGGAAGAAGGAACCCTCTTGAACTGCTGGTTCGAATGCAGACTGCTGCAGCCACTGTGGAAAACAGTATAGTGTTTCCTCAAAAAACTAGAAATGGAACTGCCATGTGACCCAGTGATCCCACTTCTATATATTTATCCCAAGAAATTAGAAACACCAATTATAAAGGATATATGCACCACTATGTTCATAGAAGCACAATTTATAATAGCTAAGATTTGGAAACAGCCTAAATGCCCATCAGCAGATGAGTGGATTAAAAAAACAAAACTGTGGTACATCTACAGCTACACAATGGAATACTATGCTGATGTAAAAAAGAAGGAATTCTTACCATTTGCAACTACATGGATGGAACTGAAGCACGTTAATCAAAGTGAAATATGCCAGTCAGAGAAAAAATAAATATCACATTATGTCACTCATTTATGGAATATAATGAACATCACAAACTGATGAACAGAAATAGATACAAAGACAAAGAAGCATCAAATATAATGTTACACTTCAGAGGGAAGGCGGGGGGGGGTTAAGAGATCAACCAAAGGACTTGCATGCATGCATATAATCATATCCAATGGACACAGGCACTGGGGTGGGGTGAGGGAATGTGCTGGGGCAGAGTATGTAGGCCGGGGGGAGGTCAATGGGGGAAAAGGGAGACGTATGTACTACTATTTGTCATAATCTATATTATAAGAACCCAGTAGCCTTAACACCATAACAACCAAAGACCAGTCACCAGGAGGCTACGTGTGTGGAGAGACGCCTGCAGGTGGGCAATGCTGCGTGCATGGCGAGGTGCACATGCATGGGCAGGGACTTGACTCTAGGTTCCGCAGTGCTGCAGTACTTGGGGGAGTCCCATTGGGTCTGGGGCCCCATGTCTCTCGCGATTTCCTGTGGGTCTGGGTCTCATGTGATTTTGTGTGCTGGGTCACTAGTTTAAACAATAAAAAGATACTTAGGTCAGTGTTTCATATATAGTACACACGCAATACCTGTTGGCTGTCAGCAACCACAGACAGCAATAGCACCATCTCCATCGTCATCCAAATCATTGATTAAAAAGGTATTTGATCATTGTTGTTCTTATATCATCTCATTAAACAACTCACTTGATTGCATTAACCAGCCCTTTTAAATTTCTTAAGCCAATTTTCAGATAAAATGTGCTGGAGGAATTTAGGTGCCCTCCAGGATTGTGTTGTCGAAATGATTGCCCTTTTCAGGATCAGGGAATAGGTCATCCTATAGTTGACTTTGGTATCCCTCAAGAAAACGAACTCAGAGATAATTTGGGTGGCATTTAGAAACTCTTCTTTCCACAGCATCATTGCTATCAGACAGATGGAATGATGTGTTTTGAGGCTGTGCTTGTGTTATCCTTAGGCTGTGTCAATTTGTAAAGGATGTTTCTTTCACAGATCTTGTTATCACTTATAAAATTGCTGTCAGTTTCTTCCCTTTGCTTTCAATTACATACTATCTCCCATTTGTGTTGATGACACCTCTCTTTATACAAAGCATTAGATAAAACATGAAATGTATTAATGTATCAGCATATTCTCAATACTTTAAGGAAGCCTAATAAATCCAAGTAAACCTACCCTTCTCTTGAAATGTATGCTTAATACAATAATAAATATGAAGTTGTTTCTCTGTTCTATTATCTTTCTAGGAACAGTTGCCTCAAAACATCCTTAAAAATAAGTAGAAAACAGTATATCCACTGATGCTGAAGCTGTATCACCCATATATATTATACTTCTTTTCCAGAAAAGCAGAGGCAGAAATGGAAGGAAAGGAAGAACTCAAAGGCCAGGTTATAATTGAAGGTAATGGCATCTGCTGTCATGGAAAGTATGTGAAGCTTCATATTTTAATGCCAGATTGTAGTTTCTGACACAGATTTTTGCTCTGTGAGTTTGGAATACTATTTAAATTTTTTGGAACTTGATTTCCTTAATTAAAATGTGAGAAATAATCTTTACATTTTGGACTTGGAAGGATAAGTGATATAATGATATTTGAGAAGTATAAAAATAGATGCTCTATGAGAAGCTTTTTTCTACTTTTCCTGTCAACCCATGTCAGTGACTTAGTTTCATATATTTCTTGACTTCTATACCTAATTAACAGGTTTCCTAACAAACTTATTTCCTATCAGCTAGGAAGATGGCCAGTACAGCACCTTGACTTTCTCACCAACTATACAATTCCTCTCTACTCAGCCAACCACAGCCACACCTTGGATGTTATTGAACTTTGAATTATTTTATCTTTGTGACCTTGAATTAAGAGCTACCTCTCACTGAATCTGTTATTTCCCCCTATTCATCACTGTATATACTCAGTCTTTCCTAAATCACAATGTCCTTCCTGCTTGTTCTTACCTTTCTGTCCACCAGAGACCCCATGGCCATTAATGCCATTGCTGGTTGCTCCAACATCCTTGAACTCTACTCCCTTTGACTGCCACATGCTCACCAGTTTGTCCCCACCTTGGGTCATTTCTGTTGTTTGCTTTCTCAGAATCAGGATTCTAATAACTGTGGAATAAAGGCACAGACATTTGTTGTCTAGGTGGTTTACTGAATAATGGTATTGATTCTGACAATTTTATACCTTATCTACTCTGTACCATTACTGTTCCAGCAATTAGTCTAGTCACCTTTGTTGACATCCTATATAATAAAATGCTAATATGCAAATCGACTGAACAGTAGACCAATTGGTCACTATGATGTGCACTGACCACCTGGGAGCAAACTGCCTGCTTAGGCCTGCTCCTGGACTGCAAGAGGGCACAGGCCAGGCTGAGAGATGCCCAACCCCATCCCAATGCATGAATCTTGTGCACCAGGCCTCTAGTATTCATTATAATGGATGTTCCAGATATTTTCTGTATACAAGCACTTTTTATTTATTTATTTATTTATATTGTTAAAGTATTACATATAGTAGTGCATATATCTCATTTTCCCCTCCATTAACCTTCCCCCCGCCCCCTCTACCCCTGTCACATGCCCTCATCCCACCAACCAGTGTCTTGTGTCCATTGGTTTTGCTTATATGCATGCATACAATTTCTTCAGTTGATCTCTTTCTCCTTCTCCCCAACACTCCCTATCCTCCCCGCTTTAATTTAACAGTCTGTTTGATGCTTTACTGCCTCTGTATCTATCTTTTGTTCATCAGGTTATAATGTTCTTTATTTTCCATAAATGAGTGAGATTATGTATTTTTCTTTCATTGCCTGGCTTATTTCACTTAACATAATGCTCTCCAGATCCATTCATGCTGCTGCAAATCATAAGAATTCCTTCTTTTTTATAGCAATGTAGTATTCCATTGTGCAGATGTACCAGTTTTCTAATCTACTCATGTACTGATGGGCATTTAGGCTGTTTCCAAATCTTAGATATAGTGAACTGTGCTTCTGTGAACATAGTGGTGCATATATCCTTTCTAATTGGTGTTTCTAGTTCTTTGGGATATATTTCTAGAAGTGGGATGACTGAATCAAATGGGAGTTCCATTTTTAGTTTTTTGAGGAAACTCCATACTGTACTCCACAGTGGCTGCACCAATCTGCATTCCCACAAGCAGTTCACGAGGGTGCCTTTTTCTCCATATCCTCACCAGCATTTTCATTTGTTGATTTATTGATGATAGCCATTCTGACAGATGTGAGATGGTACCTCATTGTCATTTTGATTTGCATCTCATGAATGATTAGTGACTTTGAACATGTTTTCATATGTCTCTTGGCCTTCCTTCTGTCTTCTTTCAAAAAGTTTCTATTTATATCCATTGTCCATTTTTTATTGGACAATTTGTCTTCCTTTTATTAAGTTGTATGAGTTCCCTGTAAATGTTGGACATTAAAACTTTATCAGTGATAACATCTGAGAAACCAAGATGGCGGCATTGGGTAGACACCCGAATGCAGCCTACCACAACAAATTTGAATTTAGAACTGAAAAACAGGGGAGGCATTGCCCTGAAGTGCCAGACGGCTGGCTGAGAGGAGGCTCTGCCATCTGGGAAGGAGAGAGAAGGCACGCTGAACCTCAGGAACTGTGAAGGTACGGAGAACTGTGTGCCTGAAAAGGCGCTGGCTTAATCCCGGTGAGGAGAGGAAGGGCCGGAACCAGATTGCTGCTGGCTTACTCCCTGCATGTAGAGAGGGCGGGCCAGGCTGAGTTCGCTACTGGCTTACTCCTGGCGCGGAGAGGGCGAACAGCTAATGCGGCTGGCTTTCTTGTCCAAGAGGAAAACAGAATCACCCTATTGCTCTGATAAATGGCCCCAGACAGGGAGAGGCCAGACTGTCAGGCAGTGGGCAGAGATCTCTTGGAGGTGTGTGAAGCCAGAGGCCATTACTGCGGGACTTGGGGAGGAGCCGAAGGGAAAACAAAGTTTGTCTGCACCAACCCGAGACTCCGCCCTACCTGTGGCTGAGCACAGAAGCTCTCCCAGAGGCTGGCTTTCTCTAAGGAGGGACTTGCAGGAATCCAAAGCTTGTCTGCGCCTTTACCAAAGAGGTGTGCGCGCCTGCAACCAATCTTCCAAAACTCTCCAGGAACAGGACTTTTCTAAGGCAAGACTGACAGGGAACCAAAGATTGTCTGCACCACCCCAAGACCCCGCCCTATTCGAGCAGTGTACGGAAACCCTCCTAGCTGAGTCACTGCTGATCCTCACAGCCAATTGGCTTGGAGATCAACGCTTCCCAGTGATACCAACAATAAGCAAGGCTTAACAACAAGACTGCACACACAGCCCACAAAGGGCTACACCAAGACTGTCCACTGCAGGTAACTGGGAAGGCTGTGCTACTGGGCTCTACCAGAACACCTAGAACACAAAGGAATTCCATCAAATCAGGGAAACAACTAAAATGCAGACAAGAAGAAGGACACAAAGGAAGGAGATGGAGGAAAAGAAAAGATTGGACATTGAGTTCAAAACCAGTTATAAGGTTATTCAACAATATCCTAAAAAAGGCCGATAAAATAAATGAGACCTATGAGGATATGAAAAGGGAGCAACTAGAAATAATAAGGGATCAACAAGAAATGAAGAAAACATTGTCTGAAATAAAAAATATTATACAAAGTCCTAAAAACAGACTGGAAGATCGCAAGAATCAAGACAAAGATTTAGAACACAAAGAGCCAGAGGACACTCCTCTGCAGAAGGGAGAAGATAAAAGAATCCAGAAAGTTGAAGATAGTGTAAGAAACCTCTGGGACAATTTCAAGCGAACCAACATCAGAATTATGGGGATTCCAGAAGAGAGAGAGCAAGATACTGAAAGAGTACTAGAAGAAATAGTGACAGAAAACTTCCCCCACCTGGGGAAAGAAATAGACTTACAAGTCCAGGAAGCCCGCAGAACCCCAAACAAAAGAAATCCAAGGAGGACCACACCAAGACATATCATAATTAAAATTCCAAGAGCAAAAGATAAAGAGAGAATACGAAAAGCAGCAAGAGAAAAGCAGGTAGTGACCTATAAAGGAGCACCCATAAGATTGTCAGCTGATTTCTCAACAGAAACCATGCAGGCCAGACGGGAATGGCAAGAAATAGTCAAGGTGATGAATAACAAGAACCTACAGCCAAAAATAATCTACCCAGCAAAGCTATCACTCAGAATCAAAGGACAGATAAAGAGCTTCACAAATAAAAAAAGCTAAAAGAGTTCATCACCACCAAACCAGAATTATATGAATTGCTGAAGGAGGTTATTTAGGAAGAGGAAGAAGATAAAGATAAAAATTATGATCAACAAATACGTAGCTATCAACAAGTGAATCTAAAAACCAAGGGAATTTAAAAATCTGATGAACAATATTAACTGGTGAATATAATAGAATCAGACGTATGGAAGGGGAGTGGACTGACGATTTTCAGGGAAAAGGGGAGTGGGGGTGCGGGAAGAGACTGAACAAAAACTGTGCACCTATGGATGAGGACAATGGGGGATGGGGAAAGGACAGAGGGTGGGGTGGGAACCTGGGGAAGGGGAGCAATTGAGGGGGGGAAGAGGATCACATTTGTAATAATCTGAACAATAAAGATTTATTAAAAAAAACTTTATCAGTGATAACATCTGCAAATATGTTCTTCCATACAGTGGGCTTTCTTGTTGTTTTGTTGATGGTTTCTTTTGCTGTGGAAAAGCCTTATATTTTGATGTAGTCCCATTTGTTTATTTTCTCTTTAGTTTCCATTGCCCTAGGAGCAGTATTGGTGAAGAAATTGCTTTGGCATATGGCTGAGATTTCTGTGCCTGTGGAATTTTCTAGTATTTTTATGGTTTTCTGTCTAATGTTTAAGTCCTTTAACCATTTTGAGTTTATTTTTGTATATGGTGTAAGTTGGTGGTCTAGTTTCATTTTTTTTTAATCCATCTGTCCAATTTTCCCAACACCATTTGTTGAGACTGTTTTGACTCCATTGTATGTTATTGCCTCCTTTGCCAACTATTAACAAAGTAGTTTGGGTCGATTTCTGGGTTCTCTATTCTATTCCATTGGTCTACATAGCTTTTCTTGTGGGAGTACCAGGCTGTTTGAGAACAGTTGCTTGGTAATACAGCATGAAATCTTATATTGAGATACCACCTACTTTGTTCTTCTTTCTAAGGATTGCTGTGGCTATTCAAAGTCTTTCTTTATTCTAGATGAATTTTGGAGAGTTCTTTGCAGGTCTGTGAAGTATGCCATTGGTATATTAATGAGGAGTGCATTGAATCTATAGATTGCATAGGGTAGTATGGATATTTAAATTATGTTGATTCTGCCAATCCACAAACATGGTATGTTCTTCTATCTGTTTATGTCTTTATCTCTTTTTTTTCTTCAGTGTCCTGTAGTTTTTCATGTATAGGTCTTTTACCTTCTTAGTTAAATTTACTCCTAGGAATCTTAACTTTTTTGGAGAGATGGTAAATAGGATTGCTTTTTAAGTCTCTCTTTTTGTAAGTTCACTATTGGTGTATAGCAGGGGTGTCGAACTCAATCAGAGAAGGGGCCAAAATCTAAAATCCAGCCTAAATCGCGGGCCGAATGGTTTACTGAACAGTCATAAACTGACAATGTTAACCAGAAATGTGAATTTAAAATGAGTGAAACAATCTTTTCCTTAACAGTGCTGTTAACCAACTCACATGCTATCAAGCAAAACAGTAATATTGGTATCAAGCAAAACAGTAATATTGGAATGTACCTAAAATGCTCATTGTTTTGTTTTCTGGCTAGATGTCTGACACCGTTTTCCCCGGATCAATGAGTCAATGTTCGGTTTTATTTCTTGGGCTGTAGCAACCCGCAAAACAGCATGGAGGTTGTCATCGGTAATGCGTGATCTGTGCTTGTTTTTGTTCAGATTCATTATTGAACCTATCTGTTCACAAAGATAGGTGCTCCCGAACATGGATAGAATACGGGCAGCATGAAGTCGGAGCTCTGGCATTGAGTCAGGGGGCAGTAGAGGGTAGAAGTCCTCAATTTCAACATCCTGAAACCTTGATTTCAGGCCACTGTCAGACTGAAGCTCGATTATCTCCATCTGAAGGTGATGGGGCACATTGTTGACATCAACTGTAAAAGGATTGGCAAAGATGTCAAAGCCTGAGTGCTGTGTTCTAAAGTCAGAGAAGCGCCGCTCAAATTCACTTAGTAAACGGCTAACTTTGGTAGCCAGCCGACTGCAAGGAAAAGTACCAGAAATAGTGGTTGAGATACTCAAACAAACGGGAAAGTGGGCAAGATTGTCCTGTTCCAGTTGGGACTTCCATAGTTGAAGTTTACACTGGAATGCTGTGATCATGTCAGACATCTTTGTGATGACTTGTTTGCATCCCTGCAGCTTCAGATTCAGTTGGGCGAGATGCTCGCATATGTCACACATCATAGCAAAATCACATAGCCAGGTGGGATCCGACAGTTCAGGCAAGGGCTTTCCTTTACTTTCCATGAAAAGAGCAATTTGTTCTCTGAGCTCAAAAAATCTTTTGAGGACTGCGCTCTTGCTCAGCCATCTTACTTCTGTGTGGTATGGCACGTCTCCATGCTCTGCACCCATCTCCTGTAAAAACTGCTGGAACTGGCAATGATTCAGGCCACGTGCCCGTATAAAGTTAATAGTTTTAATGACTGTGGTCATTATGTCATTCATGTCCAGAACTTTTCCACACATAGCCTCTTGGTGGATAATGCAATGATAAGTAATCAAGGGTGTGTGGCAGTGACTTTTTTGCATTCTTTCCTTCATTAGTCCAACCAAGCCTTTCTTTTCTCCGCACATTGAAGGTGTGCCATCGGTAGTTAGCCCCACCAACTTTTCCCAGGGTAATTTAAAATTATTTATAGATTTCTCCACAGCCTCAAATATATCTCTACCAGTCGTCGTCCCATGCATGGCAGCTACATCCAAAAGTTCCTCAGTGACAGAGAGGTCGGTCTTCGTAGCACGTATAAAGATGGACAGCTGCGCTGTTTCAGTGTTGTCTGTGCTTTCATCGATAGCAAGTGAAAAAGCGAGATAACTGCATGCCTGTTCGGCCAGCTGTGATGATAGATTTCCTGAGAGTTCTTGAACTCTATCTGCAATGGTGTTTCTTGACAAACTGACATTTTGAAAACTCTGTATCTGGTCTGGGCATACTTGCTCACACACTTTTAGCATGCATTGCTTCAAAAAGGCACCCTCTGAAAAACACCTTGAAGTATGGGCAATTTCTTCAGCCACTATAAAGCTTGCTTTCACTGCAGCATCATTTTTCGCTGTAGCCTTTGTAAACATTTGCTGCTGTGATTGTAGTTTGCCTTTTAGTTTTTTAACAATTTTATGCTTTTCTTCCAAAGTATATTTGTCATACTTAACATTATGTTTGGTGTCAAAATGACGACGTATATTGTACTCTTTCATCACCAACACTGTCTCATAACAC